ACTGCCTCCATTGATGTGCCGATTATTCCGAATGAAATCCTCCTCCGTCATTTTCTTCTTTACCTGAACATTGTGTTGATCTGTATTGAGCATTATGAGTGAATATGACAGCAAAAGTGCAGCATCCTTGTTAGCTAGAATTAGTGGTGATTGCTCATAATATCTCTCTGAGAATGCTTCAAGCACCCTCTGTATCTTTTGTGATTCTCCAGGCAATCGAAATGTCTCCAAAAACAGTCGGAGTGCAGTATCCAAGTTCATATCTGCGAAATCAAAGGTACCTGCAAATTTATGAAGAACCTGAACACAAAACTCGTCATGATTTCCCAAGAAATCCCCAACTAGATTCTTGTCCAACCCCGCAGTATACCTGAAAAAGCAGGCCACGCTTTGTGGATCAAGTTTGTCGGGCAACAGATATGTTCCTTGGAGGAACTCCAGTCCTTTCTTTGGGTCACGGTTAAAATGATCAGCTCCAATCATTAACCTTCTCTTTATGTACTTCCTCCGGCGAACAAATGGAACCCAATTACTAGGATCACTGTAGTTGTCACACTTCACCATCCAGAACGGAGTATACTCTTCCAGATTCACTGGTGTATGTGCAGAAACAGATCCATTCCCCACCCTCTCGGCCATTCCTTGAATAACAGCAATAAGGCCATCCAAAGCAAGAATGTGAATTGAAGACAAGGGGCAATTGACAGGGAATGCACTCTTTGACAACAGATTAGCAAGTTCTTCAAAGACATTGCTGCATGTTATGTCACAATCTAAGTTAGCATACATCTCCACCATGAAATTTTTCTGCCTGCAGAAGTCAACAAGAGCCTCCATAGCAACCTCCTGCTGCTGATAAGAAGCTCCATATCTACTTTGTGCAAGCCTCAATATCACACAAGAAAAGAAAGCCTCAAGCTGTAGTTTAAGTTCAGCGCGCAAATGGTGGTACAAATTAAGAACAATGCTGCACACCATTGAAAGAATAAGTGGACTCGTTGACAAACCAAACTGCATAAGATTTCGAAACAATTCATCCTGAACTAAACTCAATAACTTGGGATGATTCTGAATGTGGGATCCACCCAACTCTAAAGCTGAATTAATCAAAACCAAGGCAAAAAGAGGCACATCTTCATCAAATGCTATGGTATTAGATCTAGGTCCCATTCCCATATGCTCAGAAATATTTAACAAAGAGCACAGAAAGTGAAATATTTCCACCATGCATGGTACCCCATATGGCTCAGTCATGAGATGCAAATCATATTGAACAGCCTCCTTCCCAGTAGAAACCGCGAGTGCATTTTCATCAATCCCAGGTGCTACCAGGCCTGAAGGAGCATTTGATGCAGGACCTGTGGATAATGGCTGACTATCATACCCAGAACTCACATTGCCATTCTCCAATTGTCTACTCCCAAAAGCATACTCATTATTTAGGCCGGCAATCTGCACAAGAAAAAACAACCACAGATTCACAAAGAAGTTCTAAACATTGGACACCTGCACATCAATTAATAAGTTTACACTATATAATCAACAGAACACATCTAGGCTAAGACCTAATGCATCCAAACTTTTTTAGTCGCAGTACCTCTTGTTTTCTAGTAGTGCTTCCATTTGACAGTGCATGTTCAGTGTCGTGAACATCAGGAAGGTGTGAGAAAATACATCTAACAAGTTCATGCATTGTGTGGCGAGCTATCCGTTGCAACAACTCGCCTTTTGTTCCTGCTTGATGAACTATACGGAAACATGTATTCACTATAGTGCAAACGTGCTGGTTACTCAACATAACAGATGCTTTACTCTTCATGCAAGCCAGAAGAACCTGTAATATCTTCATCAATACCACTTCCTCTGATGCAGGATCGGTGACCTCAAATCGGCAACTAGTGATGGCATCAACTAACAAGTTCATGGCATCTTCAACATTTAAGGAATTTTGATCAATCACATCAAGTGTTAAGATATTATAAACAGATGACAAAGCGACACCAGTGATTGGTGCACCAGTTTCATCCGATCTAATCACATCCAAAAATGGCTGGAGATACACAACAGGATTAATGGTATGCCACTGATGCTGCCATGAAAAAATTTGCTTGCGCAATGCCTTTAAAGACTGTACTAAAGAGTGTTCCAGCTGATCATCACCGGATATATAGCGCCCACCCCATCTTACATTCCTCCTCATAACCGCTAATACAGAACCTATTTCTGAATTGATGATGCATGCCAATGTAGCTTTATTTGAATTCATTGCCTCAAAGTCCTCGGATTCTTCTTCAATTGCCTTGATGCCAGTTTGCAGCTTTAGACGCCCCATCTCTGAACAATATTCTTTTGAATAGAACCAAAGTTCTAGCTGTATTTACCACCTTCTATATAGAGAAGGCAAAGAAGCATAGGCAACACATACCTAGTTGAAATTCAACATATCAAGTAAGCTAACTTAAGTACAACAATTAATCAACAAGCGTAAATCAAAATGATCGTAATCATATCATATGCAGACATTTAAACTTCCATAACCACTACCACTGATTTTCAACAGCCATGACTGGCCGGCACCCACCCTCATTGCCACTGTAACCAATATCACAACCATAACTTCCGGTCTCGGTCTATAATTTAAATGTCTCGCTCTATAATTTATATGTCTTTAAATGTAAACATACCATTTAAACACACTATAAACAACATTTAAAACCTACACTACCTTCACTAATAAAAACATAGTCAGGTGGTATGCATCATACTTAAACTCCAACTATCAGTTGAATAAAACTAAAATTTCAAGCAACGGAAAATTACTCGTAAATTTCCATTAGAAAAAGTAAAGATTTGAATCTAAACAGATAACTTAAAACCTAAAACAAACACTAAGCAGCTCCTTCCCCCACCCCCCCCCCCTCGGACATTGGCCCTTCCAATGCTGAATCCCAAATTCGGACGCCAAATGTGCTCCAAAACATCAGATTTAGCAGAGACTGAAAATTCAAATTCCAAATTTTCGTTTGGCTACTTACCAAACAGTCCTGCTTTCCACCTCGCCGGCGATCCCGAGCTTGACGCCTCCCAAATCCGGTTCCTTCCTCTCCCCCACCGGTTCGGGCACAACTGCAAGCTTCGGGTTCGACCGCTCCGCTTCTCTGGTGACAGATCCGGCGCGATCCATTAAAATCAGGAAAATAAAAAACGCAAAAAAAATAAAAATTCGGAATGCGAAGGAGACTTCATGCGAGTGAAGTTGCGTGAGAGAGAAGAATTTACCTTGGTTGGAAAAATGGAAGAGCGAGGTCGAATCCCTAGAGTCCGGCCAAGGATCTAGAGGACGAAGAAAAGAAAAGTAAACGAGGAAAAGAAGAAGAATTCCACCGTGTTTTATTAGTTTGGCTTTTTTTTGGGTCTGAAAAGATAAATGTATTAATCCGATATTATGGTACAGGCTAACTCAAGGGAAGGCAAAATTATTCAAGTACGTTTGGGGAAAAAATGATATATAAAAGTTCAGCTTAATTAAATAAATTAATACGGGAACCTAAATCTCTAATTTTTGACCATAAAACGTAGTGTCTGTCACTGTTACAGCCATACCGAAATAGTAACACTAGAGAAAACGATCGAGGGATGAAAATGAACAATACATCATAGCACAAAAGTAGCAAACCCACAACAAGAAGCACACCACATCCATCCAGATTTCTTCATCAAAGATGCAAAACCAAAAGATAGGCATTAGATCCAAATCCCATTCACAAATCCCAGCAAATATATACGAACACAGTAACACATGGATAGAAGGTGAGACTAAAGGATAAGTAAAATACCCTTACTTTGGCCGAAACCACAGTACACTTGGCCTTGATGGAAATCCGGCAAGTCGTTTGGGGGGGGGGGGGGGGGGTGCATATTTGACCCAAAGTTTGCAAATCAAAGCAAAGGATGGGATGAAGATGGTTGGGGAAAGGATGCAGAGGGGAAAAGTGAGGGGATATGGAGTTTTGGAAAAGAATGGCCAGAGGAGAGGGAGGGGTAGAGAGGAGGGACATGAAGTCCAAAAGTGAGACAAACTCACAGAAAAGTTTGAGACAAAACTCAAGGAAACTGAGAAAAATCTTAAGGGAAAATTGAAAAAGAGAGAAGATAATCAGGAGAAAAAGGGAAAGAGGAGAACAAGTAACTTGGACAAGGATAGCCACCGGCACCCAAGCCAAAGGCTAGGGCCGACGGCAAAGGAGTTTGCAAGGTTGAGAAACCAGAGAGAGTCTCACACGTTTTCTCCTTTTTACTTTTTAGCCAAAATGGTTATTTTAGATTGGCATAACTCCTCACTTTAATCGTAAGGTTTAAAACCAATAAAAGTGATCCCATTGTCAATCATTTTAGTTCTATTATTAAAAATTTCCATCAAATTGAAGAAACCACTCGTTCAAGTTGAGGAGTTGATTTGGCAAAAATTCTCTCAATAAATCTCAAGAACAAAAGCAAGGAGTTATACCAATCTCAATGACTGTTTTGGCTAGAAAACCTATTATTTAATTTGTGTTTGGGAGATTGTGAGAGAAAACAACTTTTTTTCCGATTAGATACTTAAGTGTTGATTACTGTGCTTATTTCCTATTTGTGATATATCACAAAATTTGCTTATTCTACGATATTAAAAAACTACCACTTAGTACTACGCTAGTGATATTTCTCTTTACTTGTAACTGAGAGGTCTTAGGTTTAATTCTCGTCAAAAGCAATGGTAAACCACAAACTTCACCCGCTCCCTTACCTCTTGAGAATAAAATAATATCGTTTAAATACTTACAAACAAAGCTACATTGTGATGAGTCTCTTTAACAAATGTGCTAATAAAGTTTTTTATTACGATGATATATTTCTCTCTACTTACTTAAATTCCACGTATAAATTCAAATTGCAGGAGTTGGGGCTCTCACTCATAGGTGTGAGCAAGCGGACAGAACCCCGGCCGCATTTATCCATATTCAGATCTCGCTCGTTATCCGCTGACACAAAAACAGAGAAAAAAATCCGACTGGAAATTCTCAAATGGCGCTTCTCAACGTCTCCATCTGCTCTTCCAAACTCCCCCCAAAACCCTTCCTCTCTCTCCCCCATAAACCTCACCCTTCCCGCCAACACCTCCCTCTCTCCGCCAGCTATCCTCCGCCCCAGGTACACTGCGCTACCTCGCCTCCTTCTCTCCTCCATTTCCGCTTATCTCGCACTGCGCACACCCGCGTACGTTAGCCAATTCGCTCTGATGAATTCTCACTTTTCAAATTTCCTGCACAGGTTGTAAAGAATCGCCTGGAAACTTCTGGAAGTTCTGTGTTGTCACTGGGAGAGTCCGTCTGTAAGGCGAGCCTTATCGCTCTGCTCTCGGCCTCTCTGTTCGTAGCCAATCCTGCATTCGCCTTTAAGGTAAGTGTTTAATCCTCAATTCCAATAATCTGTTTGGTTCCCGAGAAAGTGAAGGAAAATTACTCAATGTACTAAGATTTCGTCTCGTTGTTGGTGAAAGGGTGGGGGTCCGTACGGTGCGGAGGTGACTAGGGGCCAGGACCTCACCGGCAAGGACTTCAGCGGCAAGACTTTGATCAAGCAAGACTTCAAAACGGTCCAAAATCGATCGAATTTGTTATATGCAAAGCGTTTGATGCTTTTACATTCGAAAATTTTGAATCTTTGTGTGTTGATTTTGTTGCAGTCGATATTGAGGCAAGCGAATTTCAAAGGCGCCAAGTTATTAGGTGCTAGCTTCTTTGATGCTGATTTAACAGGTACATTTGTTTTCAATTATTTATCATCACGAATGCTGTAACCTTCGACTGGCGTTGGTACGTGTTGCAAATGTTTAGGAAGAACATGGTTAATGGGTTGTTTTGTTTACTGTGATATTCTCTTTCCAGGGGCTGATCTTTCTGATGCAGATCTAAGAGCTGTGGACTTTTCTTTGGCCAATGTGACAAAGGTGAACTTTGATGGAACATTCAATTTTACATTTGATTAATAAGAAACCCTAATTTAGATGTTCTGGCGTTCCACCATCAGTTTTGTGGTAAATGGTGAAAAATGTAGATAAGGGGATAATAGTGGGACTGAAAGTGTTCCCAGTAACTTACGAATGTTCAGTCGATGAGTCTGAAGTTCCGATTTCCAGGAGTTATGGGGTTACAATGTGGAATAATAAGCAGAAGGATGAGAGAATTCTGGCTGTAATCCGTTGTTTGAGTCCTCTTAAGTTGGCAACATAGGGGGGCCACTTTTATGGAGAATTTTACTTCTTTTCTCTACTATTTAATTTGGCTCAGTTTTGTTTCTTAGTAAGATTTGCAGCTCGGATTGTTAATCATGAATACCTCCACACCTTTAGAAAATTATCAGTCGGAAGCTCTCTTCGCATTGTCATTTTTCGAGGATATTAGAGGGAAAAAGAGATTTGAGGTAGGTTAGAGTGATGGAGTTTCATGCTTTATCAGGTTTGTTTTGATCGGGGTCTGGTTAACTTGTGATGCAAGTGCCCTTCAAGCAAGTTCGCAATAGCATTCTTAATGGAGATTCATGTGTTTTCTGTTTTTGAGATTGCAATGAGAATGAAATTGGTAGAGCTTTCCAATCAAGTTCATTAGAGAATTTTGAGGAATTTACCCTGAAATAGCATCATATTTAGTAGAAAACAGTTAAACGAGTCATTCAATCAGACAGCTAGCCTTCAGTAGTGGAAAATGCTTTCATCAACTAGTTTGGCTGAACCTTATAAATTTTCCACTTTCCCAGTTTTACAGTTCTGTTAGTTTTCACCCGAATGCAGTTACGTTCCCATCCCTTGGTCAATGCCTCAGGTGTTGGTAGTAACAGTTGGGTTGAGGTTCCACTGGTCCCAAAGTTCGAATGTCCAAGCATAAAAAATGAAGTAGGAAAGGTTTCTAACTTCTCACTCGCACATGTTCCACTTCTGCAGGCGAATCTGAGCAACGCTAACTTAGAAGGTGCAGTAGCCACAGGCAACACATCTTTCAAAGGGTCAAATATTACGGGTGCAGGTATGTCAAGATTTTGCTCAATGCTAATATTTGCTAATGCTTTGACTTAACCCTTACCATTCGGGACTTCATCTCAAGGTTTACTCTAATCCATTCGAGCTACGTTTAATACTACAAAGAAAATGGAAAATTAGACAACAAAAAAAAAGATAAGCTTTTCATCTCGTTGCTGTATCTAGTTTTCTCTCCAGTCTACACAGCAGCTTCAGTTTTCTTTGGCTAGTTTCCATGGAAACTAGATGATGGAATGTTTCCATTTCCTTGGGGCAAACCAAGCATATCTTAGTTTTCTAGGCTGCGTAAATTCAAATCGAGTGTACATAATCAATTTTGGACGATTTTCTATGTATGTTGCCAGACTTCACAGATGTGCCTCTGAGAGAAGATCAACGGGAATATCTCTGCAAAGTTGCCGATGGGTAAGAATACGATACTTTATATCTCTACACATTCATCTTCACAAATCTGCTCCATTTTACAATGAATCCACTGTTCTGTTAACAGGGTGAATCCGACAACTGGAAACCCAACACGTGAAACCTTGCTTTGCAATTAATAGATCATTGATCAAAATATAGAAAGACATTGTAAGGAGGGAGTTGGTTAATATTGGATACACGGGAAGCTGCAATTTTCACGAATGGAGCTTGTTACTTAATCTGATGTAACTATTGTATGGTATGTAGGTAATTGTTCGTTCCATTTATTCAAATGCATACATGAACACACGTAAACTATGGCCAACCAGGTACGGTTTGATACAGATACTTTTATCAGTTAACTTTTTGTACCTTTCACCGTGTCACCATGTTTCATGAAACATTAGCTTTGCCGTTCGTTCTTATTAACACAAGTAGACTAGTTATATCACGTGATCGTATGCCTACCTAATGCTTCTTGAGGATTACTTTCTTTAGCAGAAATAAAGAAGAGAGATTGAGATACAGAGGAAGAGAGAAATTACAAGGGGTAGTTGCTTAAGTGTGGACTAATCTAAGCGTTCGATTATTGCTTGAATTAGTTACATAAGTGGAACGGTTGAATAGGCTAATCTTGGTTTTTTAGTCAAAATGGTCTCTGAAATTGTTATAACTCCTCATTTTGGTCCTTGAGATTTAAAATCGATAAAAGTGGTTCCGGAGATTGTCCACCGTCAAATATTTTGGCTATTTTATGAAAAATATCCATGGAATTGAAAAAATCACTAGTTCAAGTGAAGGAGTTGATTTGATAAGAATGTTATCTATTTAACAGATATTTCTCACGAAATGATTAAAATAATTTATGGTAGACAATTTCATAAACTATTTCTATTGATTTCAAATCTCAGTAACTAGTTTGGCGAAAAAACCGTCAATCTATAAGTAGTATGCTAAGCCCCCACAAAAGGCCTCTAAATTACGTAGTCCCGCAGCATTGCCAAATATCCTAAACAGACATAGTGATTGATTCTGTGGGTTTGCATGTCCTAATCCTAATCTCCAGATCTCCATTCGTTATGACTCCTCGGTTCGTAATCTCACAGCATTGCCTACGTGGAGCCGCCTCCTACAAAATCACACCCATTAGATTAGACCACTAATCACAAATTAATCTGAAAACATATCCACTAATCTACTGTGGAACGTGGGAACAAACTCCCCTACAACGGGGATGATTGGGGAAGTACGTTAAGTTAGTTACTCCTGTCGTGTGAGTAACATATAACAATGTATGATTAATTTGAAATACTGTCGTAATAGCATTCCTAATGCATATAAGTTTAGAGCTCGTTTGTAAGTGTTTTGAAATGATCAAAAGCGTTTTTGGTGAGAATGCTTTTAGAACCAATTCTTTATAAAAACTCAAGTAAATCCCACAAAAACATTTGAAGTACTTCTTGGAAGAATGACACAACTCTAGGAATCACTTCAAGTTCTTTTACAGCCCCAAAACATTTTCTCTGAAACCGCTTTCAATCATTTTAAAAACACTTCCAAACGAATCCATCCAGCAAAAAAACTCAAAACATATATAGGACCCATGTGCAAAGCAAGAGGAGTATTATCATTTATGAAAAGAGCTAGGGTTACCTTTGTCCAATAGCGAGGGTCCATCTTCTTTGAGGAGACTACAATCCTCTGCGTTGCATGGGCATATTCTGCTCTCTCACATTGCTTTCCTTCACTGGCCACAAACCTCCTGTAAATAGTCACAGACCCGCCCCTAACAAATATGACCTGGTCCAAGAAATAAATGATGGGCTGCTGACACGGGTCGGAACTCACGGGTCGGGTATTGAATGTGAATGGTCCGTCACTCCAGGTCCCCCACGTCTTGAACGTCTGCAACGGCATCTGAAGATCCATAGCTCCGATCAACGACGGGTAAAGCTGAATGGTGTAGCCCCATGAAACGGACATCGACCATTTACTCCGGTGGTCGTAGCAAAAACTTTGTTGTAGGATCCGGCCCGGGTCGAGCCGGTATGCACGAAGGAGGGACTTGAGTGAGTCTAAATGGGTCTGGTTCGGGAAGATGGGTTTCATGGAGTCCAGGTGGTGAAGTGACACAAGTGGTGTTAATGGGTGCGCAGCTAAGATACCGTACGGGTCACCTCTGATATCAAACTGAAAAATTACAATATACCAAACAAAAAATACGATAAGCGTTTTGATTTATAAAATCATAAAATATTAACGTAATGGCGTGATACTACTGTCTTACTAAGTTTTACTAAGATTGAATACTGCTAGACTAAATAATCGTGTTTAACAATTGAATTATAGGATATATTTTTTTATAATTTTAACATTTTTAATAAGATGAGAGAAAATTGATTAATATGGTTTGAACATGTAAAACGAAAACCTACATACACTCTGGTTAGAATATACAATTATAAGACAGAAGCTTAAGACCAAAAGGGTAGAAGAAAACTTGAGAAGACTTGGACAAAGACTCTAAGAAAATATTTGGATTACTTGATCTAACGGAATATTTGGCACAAAATCGAGCATAATAACTTTTTAAAATTTATAAAACCAATTTCACTTAATAACATAAGACTTTGTTGTTGTATCATTAATTTCGACCATACAATTATGCCGGTGAAAGCTACTGCCTTATCAAAATTCACCCACCAACCATCTTGCGTAAATGGTTGGAAATTTTGAAATGCGACGAAGCATGGAGGAAGATAGCACACAAAGACACAGCAGAGCCGTTATTTTCACCGGGGCCACCAGAGAAACCTCCGACAAATTTTGAAACAACCACTATCACACGTACGAGCGACGAAATTACCGTTCATAGTTGATCAACAGTGATCGCGAAATAGCTCAACCTTACGAGAGATATCACAAGCATTATACATTTCTATCTCAAGCCATGATGCACATAAAAATTTTTATTTTCTCTCATGTTAGTGAAATTGTGCAAGACCAGTTTAAAATAGGGATATGATATCCACACATATTCTTTTACTTTTCACACACCTCTCATTAATTTTTATCACTTTATTTTTTTCATTTCATTCGATTCGACAAGCTAAAATTAAGAAAATATATGAGAAATATAAAAGGGTGTGCACACCCTTTAAAGCGTTTCAGTTGCATGGAACGAAACCGGATCCTCCTGACCAGGATGGGAATCCTCCTGACCAGGTCATCTAGATTTTTGAAATTTGATCCAACAGCTACAATAATTATAACTTTTAATGAATCTTTATGTTTGTAACCATTGAATTAAATTTCAAAGGTTTAGATGATTTCAGGAGGATGCCCATCCTATGCTATGCTCAGGAGGGGATCAGGTTCCGCATGGAACAACGCAAGTTGTCCAATCTTACAGTTCAAGTGTGGACTGGAATGCTTTACGACTGACGTGTGGAAGCAAGCATTAGCTACCAACTTTTTCAATTCCATGGTTCCATAAACGCCACAAAAACTCGTACAGTAAATGGGTACATATTCCAAAAAATAATTTTTGATTACTAAAAAATGAGTAAGAACTCTTACTCTAAAAATTCTAGTTGGACAATCTAGTGTAGAAATACATCAACGGTTCGTAATACTTTTATCAATTTTGTTCATCTGTTTTTTATAATTCGATGACTAGACGACCTTAGTTTTAATTGAAATTTTGTAAAGATAATATTTGAACAGTGATTCATAGTGTGAACAATTCCAGTCGTAAACACAAAGTTTCATAAATTGAAAACGAACAATTTTAAATAAAAATCTTACGCATTGTTTGGGTAACCAAATATTGTTCTATTCCAAAGTTTTTCTAAGGAAAGTGGTTAAAGACAGAGGAGGGCGATTTCATGGTCATTATGTTTTGGGCCACTAAACACGCTAATATCTGTCGTAATAAAGTAATGCAGAATATTCATAAAGAAAGTAATCCTATGAAGAAAAAAAATTCAACTTCAAGGACACGTATCCAACCTTTTTGCCATAAGACACGACAAGCCAAACACATGCAGGCAGCTTTTAAATTCCTCAAATATTTATAAAAAACAGAGGAACTATAATACTACCAATTATAATATGGTTCAGGAGCTTAAAATATTCACTTACTTTTTTTAATAATAATAATAACTTAAAACAAGTTCATTTATATTTTCGAGTCAATGTTTTTTTAACAAGGGCAAAACTAAAATTTTTGTACAGTGAGACATTATTATTTACGCAAAGATCCAAGTAAACTTGAAATTGGGCGTGACGCTCTAAGTAGCATTAAATTTCTTTCTTCCAAATTTTACATTAGAATTGGAACGTAACCTAATTCTAGTTTTATGTCGCTGTTTGTAAAAGGTTGTCAGCTTCTTATGTAGGATTTACTCATTTGAAATCCAAAGAAAAATACTGCTACACCAATAATTGAACGGTGTTTAACTCTAATAATTATTGTTGTCTGAGTTCAAATTTTGATTTAAGCTTTCTAAACGTGGGTTATCAAGGTTTTCCAACATAATCGACACTCGGGTCGATTAATTAAAACCATCTGTTATGATGATTGACGAGGTGAGGTGGCGGCTCACCATTGGTTATCTAACCGAAATTCAAATCCATGTCGTTACTTCATACACGTGGCGCTGACCCAATGACCCGCCCACTCTTGCCGTTAAAAATGCGTCACAATTTTATCGTGTTTCGGACATATTTTTTTTTTTTAAATCTTTCCGCAAATAAAAACGGTGAGGAATGTGTTATCCATATATTTTTTTGTTATTTCTAAAATATCCTTTATTAATTTATGTTTTTAATTTTTTTTGAATTTATAAAATAAAAAAAGTGTGTGAAGTAAAAAAAGGGTGGGGGATAGCATAGACTCTGTATTCCACCACCTTGTCCCCTAGCAGCTAAGTAAAACCACCGAGCACCGCCGCTTGCAACCAAAAAAAGCAAGAAAAGTATAACGTACCTGGTGGAACCCACCGAGTTTAGTGAGCGGCACACCCATCTCGCTGACGCAGGCCGATACCCGCTCATCGGAGCCGTAGAAATTAGAGTACCTCTCCAGACAGCCGTCCATCAGCTCGACTAGCTGTGCCGCGAGTGGGTAGCTGATCGCGAACCCGCCGCCGCCAAACGCCATGTCGTACGCGTGCATCACGTCCTGCTCCACGCTCTCCGAATTCCCGCCAATGTAGTACATCCGGCCGTGGTCGTACCTCGCCAGCACCGAAACCAGGTTGTCGGTGAAAAACACCGTGTCGTCGTCGCCCATCACGAACCACCGCACGTTGGGCAACCCGAGTTTAAAGCTTTCGTACACAATCCGGGCGATACGAACCGCCGATTG